GGATTGCCTAATAGAGGTGGTGCTGATCAGCCACAAGTTCAAAAAGGGCAATATTAATTACTATTCCATGTGGCACTGTGCCTGTGTGGCGCAAAGGCGAGTCTTTTTGAATATTCGCTTTGTTATTGACACCTGTCCATGCTACCAATCAACTTTGGTGCATGACAGCGGCCCTTTGTAGGGTTTCACACGGCTAATATTGACCGTGGGTACTACCCTCATTCGTTTTGGGAGTTCTAGCTCCACTGTGTTGGGTTTGACTTCCTTAATCTGGTAAGGGCCAATCCATTTTTCGGTCAGTTTTCTAGACTGCCGATCTTTTACTTTCAAGTGGTCGGTATCTAACCAGACCAGGTCGCCGACCTTGTAGTCAGGGGCTTTGGAGCGTCTACGCTCTGCCCTGTCTTTCATCTGCTCTGCAGTTTTGAATAGCGCCTTGCGCGTTTCGTCTAAGACAAACTTCATGTCTTTGGCCATGTTCCCAGCAGCCTTGTTCTTGCTTTTACCAGGTTCTACACCCATTCTGGGGAGGTACAATCTAGTAACCTCAAATAGTGCCTTTCCCATAGCCGACGACTGTTTAATATTATAAAAGAACTGGGCTATCTTTAGCCGCTTGGCCCAATCCATCTGCCTGTCATTAATAAATATCCGGAGATATTGTTTCAACTCCTGGTTGAGTCTCTCCGTTTGTCCATCAGTCTGCGGATGGAACACCGTTGATAACTTAGGTTTGATGCCCAGCATCCGGCATAAATCTTTTGTAAATTCACTAGCGAATTGAGGTCCTTTATCGGAGATAACCGTTTCTGGTAACCCATGGATAGACCATACAAAATCTTTAAATAAATCTGCCGTACCCGCGGCGGTAATGGTTTTATTGGTGGGTATGAATACCACTTCTTTGGAGAAGCAATCCACTACCACCATTACTGAATCATACCCATTTGACTCGGGCAGATCCGTCGTAAAGTCAACCGATATATCCTGCCAGGGACCAGCTGGTATCAGATTCGGCATAAGTTTACCGGCCGGTGGTTGGTGAGAATTCTTAGCCATGGCACATCTCAGACAGGATTTTACGTATTCCTGTACGTCTTTGACCATGCCAGGCCACATGTAGTTTCTGGAGATCAACTCCATTGTTCGTTGCCACCCAGGGTGCCCAGCCACTGGAGTGTCGTGATGTCTGTCTATTGCCTTGATCCTTGCGGACTCAGGCACATAGATTTTGTCTTTAAAATGGAAAAGCCCGTCTTCCCATAAATAGTTTTCATTGCCATCAAGGCGCGCCTTCTCTTCTGAGGAGATGTCTTTCTTAAAGACTTCCAGAAGATCGGAATCTTGCCCGATTCTAACATTGGCAACCCTTGATTGGTCTATCAGGGTAACACCTTTGTTGTCATCTTTGATGCCGTTGGCATGATCCTCTCTTCTGGACAAAGCGTCCGCTTTCCCCATAGAGCTTCCAGGCTTATGAATTAATTTATAATTAAACCTTGACTGTAAGGACCATTTCATTATTTTCTTATCTTCACTATGTCTTGGTTCTCGAACACTTTTCCCGTTACACCTCTGGCTCTGGGGCTAGAGGTATCCTTTGCCATTTTACTTCTCATAGCCCTCACAGGCTTTCTTAACCACCGCTACCATTTTATATCACAAATCAGAGACTGGGTATCGCTCCCAGCCAGCCAGCACACGGAGTAAGGACTGGTAGTAGGCATCTCGCCAACCAGCTCCAAACCTCAGTAAAGCCTGGTTATACTAATAACACCTTATTCAGGATCGTACCTCATTATGAAGATACGGTTCCTGAACACGCGTGACAATCCTCTATTATTAGTACAAGTCTCTCACCTGCTGATTAATCAAGTTAAAAGTCGTACGATAGTTACTCTCCCTTTTTCTTATTGGTCGATTAATTCCTCAGACCACTTTTCGTATATTCTCCTTTCGGTCTGAGGAACGAACAGTTCACTATATAAAGCCTTACCTATTCATGTATGGTTCCTTAGTTTTCTATTACTGAATTTACCCGCTTTACTCCTCAACAAGAACCTTTGAAGCTTACCTCTCAAAGTCCTCTACTCGCTATATTTACTAGCGTCTGTCGACCTCAAGCTCATTGAACCTTTTACTCCCTGCAAGTGCAGAAGGAGACAGGTTTCGTTTTTTGTTATAGTTTATCGTTGCCTCACATTGACAAGTATACCGCGTAGCGGGCCTGTCTTCAGTTCAAGTCTCGGGCCGTCATAAAATACTCCAGATTCTTATGATCAGTCCAAATTTCAAATTGGTGCCTAGCACCTTCTAAGTAGTGCCGCCAGTGCTCTAGAGCTCTAATGATGGCATTGGAGAAGCCAGAAAACTTCTCCGGAGATAAGAAAAAGTACAGGGCCTTTAGAGAGTCCTTACTTCTACATTTCGAAGATGATGCCATCTACTTCAAAGATGATAGAAAAAAGATAAGCTTTGTGCTATCTTTTATGAAAGAAGGAGAAGCCGCGGCCTTTCGGACCGACTGGCTAGAAAACCGGGTCGACGCTCAACAAATGGGGCTCGACATCACAAACACATACGGAAGCTGGCCGTATTTCGCAGACAAAATGGAAGAAAGATTCAAGGACAGCTTTGAAAAAGAAGCTGCCAAAAATGAAATATTGACCCTAAAACAGGGCAATGAAACCGCCCAAGCCTTTTTTGAAAGGTTTGAAGAAAAGAAAAGATGGGCGGGATACACAAATAGGATAAATGAAGAGTTTCTAATATCCCTACTCAGAAGAAATATGAATAAGCCGCTAGTAGATAGGGTGATCTACGGTGGGCATATTCCTAGAGATTACCAAGAGTGGAAAAGAGAACTCATCAGAATGGACTATATTTGGAGAGAAAGAGAAAAAGAAAAGAAAGGTTCCGAAAACGGAAAGAAATCCTATTCGGAACAAAAGAAAGAAGGAGAGAAGAAAAGAGACGGAACCGGGTATACTTATACCGGTAACGGAGAACGAATGGAGGTGGATAAAGCGAAGTTCCGCACCGAGGGACGATGTTACCGATGCGGAGAGAAGGGACATAGAAGCTTCGAGTGCAAAGACGCACAAAAAAAGAAGCCGCAATTTAATGTCCGAGAATTCTTAGAAAAGATGACGAAAGAAGAGAGGGAAAAACTCCTAGAGGGTTTTTAAAAAGGCCAGCAGTACCGCATCGACCGACTGAGCCTAAAGACATTTTGAATCGTTTTCTTCCTTTGACTGTAGATACGTATGACTCAGAATTGTTAAGCTGCAGCTTTAGCGCGGATGACAATAAAACTATTTCCACCC